GCATCACTTTTGCAGTTAAGTACGGGTTTCACGGCAGGCGCAGCACTTCGCAAGGTCAGGTACGGGCTTGATGGCGCTGAGAGTAGATAGAAAGTGAGATTAGAATGGTAGATAAATACATGCATGAATGACGCAACGTAGACCGACCGGTTTGCGAACAACGTGTTCCAACATTGCGGCAGTGTTGCGATGGTCACACAATTTGCGCATAACTCTGGGTGCGTACATTGAGCGCTTTCTATCCCCAAGCGGCATGCCTGTCATGCGATCTGGTTGCCTCTTATTCCCAGCAGTTCTTTCTTCTCTTCCTTCTCCTCTCCTTTTCATCTGATCTCATCTACTTTTTTCAACAGCTAGCCTTCACGGAGCACTAGTACACATTTTTGTTTCTAAACTTCCTCTGACAATACAACGGAACGTAGAAACCGAATCTACGCCTACGCGCATGCGTCTTCGACCACCCGAAGCAAAAGGACGGGTTTTCTGCTTTTGCTGAATCCGGAAGAACGCGCAGAACCTGCACGGTTGGACGCATGACCGTTCCAGGTTGAGAGCTCACCCTGAGACCGAGGGCTTGTCCGCGCCGAATGCTAAATGACCCTGTCCTCGACAAGGCCGGGAACATGATTTTTGCGGAATGTATTCAACACGAGGCGATCGAAGGAAAAGTTGGTTTGGGGTTTGTGGAAGGACGGCAACGCCACGCAGCGTACGCGTAGAGGAGGTGGTTTCTTGGACCAGACGAAAACAAGTCAGCGACGACAATGAGGAGAAGCTGGGGGGTGGACTTGAGATGGTCATTGTGTTCTTTGAAGTGGTGGCGCGCTTCCAAGATGAATCGCCTGGGTGGAAGAAGCTGAGTGAGAACTTGCCCGGCGAGATTCGAAAGAGGCTCAATTTGGAGGAGCCTTCAGTTGAAGTTCGCAACGCGATGGCAACACCTCACTACCGCAATCCATACATGCAGGACAAGAAAGGCCGAAGAGCAGACCAAAGACGACATGGACGTGGACAAGATGGAAATGAGCCACTGTGGCAAGTGACGATCTGTTCCCGACGAAGAAATGGGATGCTAAGGGTGGTTGGGGTTCGAAAACTCACTTCTGCACATATGTTGGCGGAATATTGACAGTCAAGTCACAGCGAGCTTTTGTCTTGAATGGGCTGCAGGCACCCAATGTCGGCGTTGAATGTTGGCCTGGAGGCTAAAGTTGGCAATCTACTAGGTTTGCAGGCGCCGCCCCCTGGGACTGAGGCTGATTGGACACCCTGCATAAACAGAAAAACGGGTTTAGACAACCCCTAAACTTGAAACTGGAGTTAGCTAGACAAACCGCACGAAAGGCTTTAGCTTGCAGTGTTCCCTCAGCCCGGACACGCCGCTGCAACGAACTGGTTACATCCTGTGTTTCACGTTTCAATGAATAAGCTTTCACTGGAAGCCCCCTCAGCCTCAGCGAGTCGCTTTCTTCGACAAACCCGCAACACCGCGTGTGCAAGTCCTTTAAACAAACAAATTCGTAAGTTCTTTTGTAAGTTGTCTCTGTGTTCCCCTTAACTTATTTGTATCTTACCCGAACCTAACTCACTACCTCCGATTCCTTGACCATATGTAGCTCAAAAATGCACCCATTAAGATATGGGAAACTTGGCGAGAATAGAAGGAGACAACTTGGGTAACAGACTTCCGAGTCACGTTAAGTTCCGTATCTTAGCCTGAACCACATGGTAGAGATGATAGAGCTGACAAGCTTCATGTATTGATGTCGCGTCCCTTTTTTCGCAGTGTGTCGTTCTGATCGTCACGGGACCCCATCCTGATCGAGCTTTCCTGGCCCTTGCGCCCTTTCCTGAGCCTTGTCTCGCTATTCTCGTTCCTGATGAAGAGCTTCACAAGCCTCACCCAGGCAGATAGCCTGAATCTGGTAGAATGACATTGTCTTGTTCAAGCCTTGAGTGCAGCCCTGCTCCCACCCTGGTGGCGCCTCATTGGCAACCAAATGATACGCCTGCATCAACTTCACAGCATTGCCCTGCTCACGGCGGCTGTGCCAAAAAATCAGGCGCGTGAGTTCTACCATGGCATTGGGAAACGCCGCAAAAAGGCTCTTACCATGTAGGAAACCACGATGGACCACGAAACATGCGTTGCTCTGCAAAACCAGTACCCAGGCGGGGAAGTAAGTTATAAACTCACTGTGTTTGGCCTAAGTTATACTTAGCGTAAGTTCCCCCGCAAACTACTTCTATGTGTTGTAAGCGACAGTTTTTTAGCATAGCTTCCGCGGACTAAATGGTACAAGCTCTGCATTGAGACGCCTGGGCCTAACCAGAGATCGCTACAAGACCAACATGAGGGAAGGGAGCGCGCTGGCGGTCGGGGATGTCGTTTTCAGGACCCTTGCTTTGACAACGCTTTGACAGGCTACTGGCACGCACGAAAAGGGCGCAAGATTCGCAGTTACCAACGGGCTGCGCAGCCATCCAAGAAGTTTTTGGAAATGACCGCGTGACGATTCTACGGCTGCGCAATGGAATTTGCACGGATACACGTGAGTGGTGTTCACACTCTTGCGGTCACAGCCGATGAGATCACCATGTGTGCTGTATCCTTGTCTTCGATGGTTGTCTCTCATGTTTTCAGGAGCATGAGCATTCTCCTTTGATGCCGAAAGCACCATCACACCCTAAATGATGATGATACAGACATGTCGAGTTCAATCTCGGGGATGTATGAGTGGACATGATTTCCGATGACGGTGTGCAATGTGCAAGTGAGGGCGGCCTGTGCGCAGGGTGAATTCCCACCCATCATCCGAATGTCTATCTCTTCGAGATCTGGTCCCAGATGAGCGTGTCTCTGCGGGACTGCACTTCGCGTGCTACTTCTGTACTCGAAGGGTGGGATTTTTGAGCCGGAGCTGCCGGGAGGACACGTTTTTAGTTAAGGCGAGGGTATGTCTTCGACATGTGCGATGCCCGCCGACCTCCGCGCGCGCAGCAGAAAAATAAAACAACAAGCCCACAGTTTTTTGACCTCGACCACGCGGATCTCCGCAGACAGTCGCGCGCGCAGATCAGAAACTGTAAGAAGTCACAGTGTTTGAAGATTGACCACGCGCACGTCGCAGAAAGCGTAAAAAGCCCGAAGTGTTTAACATCGACCGCGCGGATCTGCATATCTGCGAAGAGGGCCGCGCGGGCAGATCAAGCATCGTAAAAAGTACTCAGATATTTTAACATCAACCGCGCGGATCTCCGCAGAGGGTCGCAACCGCGAGCTACGAGCAAACTTCCGCCCCGGACGCCTTAGAAACCTAACTTACATAGCTGCTTACGCCGAAGCTCCGCGCAAGCTCTCTGCCGAACCTTGGCTTTGTGCAACTTGACTCTGTGCCACACTTGGCTCTGTGCCGCTTCTCTCTGCGGGCCTATGCAGCTTGGCTCTGTGCAACTTGCCAATGGCCGTGCGCGCGCAGTTTGTCTACATGCTCTTCGAGCCTCGTACAACACGCATCCACTTCAATCTGGAGGCGCGACTGAACTGCCGGCGCCTCGCTGAATGCAGCCTAGCCTGTTGCGGCTGGCTTGATTCTCGTCAAAGCAGGCGTTGTCATAGCTTAAAGTAAGTTGCCCAGCGCCTGAAACGAAGCCGGGCCAAAGGTGCGTAAGTCATGCGCGTGGTCAGCGAGCCAGTCACAGAAAGAGTCTACGTGAGGCTGGAGACATGGCCGAACTGCGGACGCCTCCCTGCAAATGATTGTCTCCCGGAACCCTAACAGGTTGCTGCTGCTCCTGGGGCAACGGCGGAAAGGCGCGCGTGAAAATTTAGATTGGCGTTGTCTGTGTCGTGAAAGTAGCGTGGATGCTTACATTTCTATCATGACATGAGCGATGTTCGCATGTTGTTACACGAGCTTACGTAGCATGCCCGGGCTCAAGACTCACGTGTCACGGCGGCGAATGGCCGAGACATTTCTGTGGAGAAGGTGTTTACCGAGCGCTACCTTTGTGCTGCGCTGCTTTATGCAACTGTGGTGTGTGTGTGTACTCGTTGGCAACATCTTACTTTTACGAGCCTTACCAACCGCACATCACCCAACAGTAAAAAAGTGAGCGCAAACAACCTTCACTTCGACGCACACCGTCCATCCCCCCACCGTGCCCGCAGTATGTGTGGAACGAAAGGTAACGAAATGTGCTGTATTTATGTTTGTGCGCATGTACGTTGGTGTGTACGTGTGTACGTATGTTTGCGCGTATGTGTGTGTATGTATGAACGTATTAAATTTTAATGCGCGCATATGTGTGTATATGCGTGTATGTATGTATGCTTGTACGTATGTCTGCATGTATGTATGTATGCATGTATGTATGTATGCGTGTGTATGCGTGTTTGTATGTATGTGTATGTACGTATGTATGTGTATGTATGTATGTATGTGTGCATGTACGTATGTACGTATGTGCGCATGTATGTAAGTATGCACACATGCGCCCGTACGTACGTGTGTATGTATGTAGGTAGGTAGGTTGGTGGTCTTAAAGTATGTCTGTATGTATGAATGAGTTTTATGTGTGTAGCGAAAAGTAGTGTAAAGGCAATGTAATGTAGTGTGCTGTGTTGCATGTGTGAATGCGCGCGTATGTGTGTACGTGTGTGTGTTTTGTTTGTCGGTGTCTGTGTGTGTGTACGTGTGTGTGTTTTCCGCGTGGTGCGTGTTGCGTTGCGCTGATGGGTGAAAAGGATGTGAGGTGATGCGATGCGATGCGGGACGATGTATGTGCTGCGTGCAACTTGTAGATGTGTACATGTCTTTGTTCGTGCTCCCGGACGTGTGTTGCCTGACACACATCCATAAATATGCGCAGAAAGAGAGACGCATGTGGATCTTGCTGCAGACTACCCCTCCACTCATGGCCTGACGGAAAGGCTATTTGAACCCTTGGGTGTGACAGCAGCAATTGCCCAACATGCGCAGACCAGGAGGAGGTTGAGG